TTATCATCTGTCAACGCTAGTGGTGGTGGTCTCGGCGGTCCGAGTTGGGGCATGACTCATGGGTCACCTTGGAGTACCAATAGGGGTCCTCCACATGTCCAGAGTATTCTCTCCCCAAACAAAATTTATATATCGCTATTTTTTTAAATATTTAGTGATATGTTAAAGATTTTAATGGTAGTAAAATTCAATACGATGGGATTGAACTCTTAAAAGATTAGGGACCAAATTGAAACGGGAAGGAGAAAGAGTGAGCATCAATCAACACCCCATTTATGCTACATTTGGCTATAAAAGGGCTTCTCCTTTGGACATGATCAATGAGCAAAATCTTAAGCCTAACTTTCAGAAGCTTTTGAAAATATGGCTCAGATTTCTATCATCTCAGAGCAGGTGCAGCTCAAGTGTTCTGGTCTCAAATTCTATGAGACTTACATAAAAAAAATTTGGCTCTCTTCATCAAATGTTCCCTGAAAACCTTAAGAGCTACGAAATTGTGGAAGGAAATGGTTTCACTAATGGCATCATCAGCCACTGGAAATATGACTTCGGTCAGACCCTAAACTTTAAATTCTAAATCATATATTAATGCATACTTTTCCAGTGCTTAGGGTTTTCAAACGTTTTAGTTTAGTCCTTATAGTATTATACACGTTATGTTAGGAGTAGAACCATGAATTAATGTTTTTTCTTTTTGCGTTGTTCGGGAGAACTCAGGTAGCCTGACCGAGGCAAAATTAAGGCTTGTTATGGATGAGCCTAACAAATCAATAACTTTGGAGTTTCTTGAAGGAGATCTATTTAGAGACTTTGAAGTGTTTAAAGTGAAAGTTGAAGTTAGTGACGGTGGAAGTCATGGCATGAGCTCAGTTAAATGGTGCGTGGAATTTGTGAAGACAAATGAAGATGTTCCTCCACCACATAACTATCTCCAATTTGGACTTAAATTGTGCAAAGCCCTTGATGCTTACATTTGCAACAATTGAACTAAAAAACACCAATCTTGGCTTGGTTGTTCAAATATCTAAATAAGTAATAATATCCAATGGCTTCCTTATGGTTATGGTATCTATATTGTGTTATTGTGTGTACTTTTGAAGTTTTAAATGGAAATGTGTAAATATATACACAATACATATGGGAAAATAATGAAAAGCCACTTTATTAAGTAATATATATGAGCAACGTACAATAAAAGGATAAAAGGAGGCTTTACGTAAGAGAGTTAGATAGTGAAAATGCTATAGTTACACAATTAAGAGTATTTGATCGTGAAAGTGATCAAGTTCGGAATCCGCGAAGCTTGGATGAAGTACTTGCAAGATAGGGTTAAGCATCTTGACGAGCAAGTTGGTACCCTAGGTATCTGATTTATTACTCATAGAGAAAATAGTTCTGCGTACCTTGCGTGGGAGGCATGAGTCTTTATATATAGAGACTCTGACAGGGTTTTCAATAGCGTTCTAATAGCTCTCCGACATCTTGGAGAATGCAGCGTGTTGTGGAGGAACATCCTCCTTGTTTTCACGCATGTAGGTGTTCTTCAAAGTTGCTTGACCATGAGTTAGGTCCACTGATAGGCATAATGTAGATCGGCTCAACTAGCATTTGCCTAGTCGTCAAGACTTGGACCAATCCAAAAGTTTTAGTTGAAATTCTTTATTATTTTATATAAAATCGCCTAAGATGCTAACACGTGGCCGACAATAAATAATCTCAGAGAGAGAGATATACACAAAATAATTCTATCTTTTTAAATTTATAAAAATAACAAAATGCAAAATAGAAAATTTGTTAAAGTATCATATTTAGAAAAATATATAATTTGGCCTTTTTTAACGTTTCTGTCATTTCACAATTTTATCTTTTATCAAGTTTAATAAAATAACACAACACTACCTGGTTGAGAATTTTTAATAGGTTCGAAATAAATTTGAGAATTTAAAAAGATTAAGGACAAAACTGAAAAATTGAATTACCTTAAAAGATTTAGACACCGTTTGATATATTTGACTTTTCTTTTTTTAGTATAACATGTGGGGTGGGGATCCAACTCACAATCTCTTTTGGTTGGAGATATATGCCAGCTGTTAGCTTTGGCTGATATATTGACCTAAATAAAATATTCTACGTACAATTCATAAAATGAGTCAACATGAATTTAGTTCAACGGTAATTGACATTTGTCCCTAGCTAAGAAAGTCATGAGCCTTTGTGAGAGTTGTCTAAAAGTTAAATCGACGTAGATTTTCCCTTTTTCTTTTTTTTTAGTACAACAAAGTAGGGGTGGAGGAACTCGAACTCATTTATTCTCGAATAAATTGGACATGTCATAAATGATCCATCGAAATATAATTTAATGGATGAGATACAAATTATCTTCCAGCTTAGGTCGAACTTTGACTCGCAAACTCAGAATTGTTAGAAACTAAGAAATAAAGATAGAATTTATGAACACAATAATAATAAAGGTGAGTTCGAATATCTCATTCCTACTCGTTGTACTAAAAAAATAAAGAAGTTTA